GCAAAGCTACACAGAGAAACCCTGTCTCGAAAAACCAAAAAAAAAAAAGTGAGAAAGCTGAGACTTAGCAAGCCAAGTGTAAACCCAAGTCATACTTAGTTGTCAGTGAATTTGGGTTTTGTGGCAGTTTGAATATATTTGGCCCCCATAATATCACAGGGATCAGCGCTATTAGGAGGTGTGGCCTTGTTGGAGTAGGTGTGGCCTTATTGGAGGAAGTGTGTCTTTGTGGGGGTGGCCTTTGAAGTCTCCTATGCTCAAGCTACACCCAGTGATCGAGTCCACTTCCTGTTGCCCCTGAGTCAAGATGTAGGACTCATGGCTCTGGTGCGACATCGGCCTGCATGCCACCACACTCCCCATTCTGATGACTGAACCTCTGAAGCTGTAAGTGAGCCACCTCAGTTAAATGCTTTTATTTGTAAGAGTTGCTGTGGTCATGGTGTCTCTTCACAGCAATAAAACAAAAACAAAAGCAAAAAAAACCTAACTAAGACAGGTTCCAACTTCATGACATAAACACAACACTGATAGTGTGTGGATTGCCATAAAGCATCAGTGAGCCCCTTTAGAGTTAAAGAAACACTAATTGAAAAAAAAATCACCTGAAAAAGAATATATATAAACTACTGCGAAGGAGTCAATCTTAATGCCTCATTGGGTGTTTTCCCCAGACCGATCTGTAAGATGAAAAGCGACCTGCTATCTTATAGGCACTTCTGAGTGTATTCCAAAACTGCATCCTGAGGGCACCAAAAAGTACAAACACTGGCTTAGTAGATGAGGAAAGCCCCTGCCAGGATGAGGTGGAGTGAGCACCGGAGGGTTTTCGTGAATAACAGGAGCCAGTAAAAAGTCGACTCTGGAGGGTGTGGGATGGCATGGTCTTCCCAAAGGTGATCTTTCTTACCACGGATGCCGAGCGGCCTGCTCACATGTGTATCTTTTATTTGGGTCTTTCTCCATCAGATTCCGAATGAAGTCTTTTGCTGTTTAAAAAGAAGGCATAGGGAACAAAGTCACTTTGAGGGTTGAAATGCGATGACAGGATACCCTTGTGTTTTAAATATGTGTACCGTTAAAAATGTGAGACCAGCTTTTTACCTTCGCTATTGTCCCTTGAGCACAAAGGACACCAGTGTTTAGATAAAAGCAGAGGCATGGCTTGCACTCCAAGAGAGACCCATGAATGAAAAGGTGACAGAACCAGGCTGGGACCCTGACTTCCAGCTCCAAGTTCTTTTTCTGATAGCTACTAATGATGCCTTTGGTCTAGAGAATAAAGGGAATAATCTTCATAGTCATATGCTCTTCAGTTCACCACTGCCTTAGAGACATGCTTTGGGGATGTGTTATAGACATTACTGGTTCTCCTAAACCCACTGAAGAGTTAGCTGCAAAGCCAACAGGTCGTGGGGGCAGGTGTGGGGGGACACCCCAGAGGAGCATCTGCATCGCACTTGAGCTGTTACTACTCAGTGAATGAGATGTTACCAAGACGCAGCAAAGATGTGTCCTGGTGTGGCCGAGGGCTTGGTCACCATGGACAGGGCAAGGCTCAGAGTAGGACACTGAGCCTGGGAGGGATGGGGCCACAGAACCCAAAGCTAATACTGAATGCCATCTTGGAACCCATTGCCCCACAGGGCACAGCGGCTTGCTGTCCACAGGTCTGAACTTCTGGAGGAAGCCCCTGGCCTCTAAGCTCCGAAGTCCAGTATGCCCTGTGAGGTCTGTTTCAGCAACCTAGGCTGAGGTGGTTGAGGTTGGTTGAGGAAACAGGCAAGGGGCTTCCAATTAGGAGTAAATAACATAAATAATAAAAATGATCCATGTGAACCGCTCAACAGAGAGTGCCATTCACCTCCCTTCTTCCTTCTACGGTTCTGCCCCTCTTCACCTGGGCTTGCTTTTGGTCTTTACCCTCTGGAAAGGACGATGAGCTTCTCTGGGAGGATTTCAGTGTGGTATACTGTGGCTCAAACACGGGCTCCAGACAATAAAATCATGACCTCAGCCAAGAAACCTCCATCACGCAAACCGTGACTGCTCAATGCAAGAACATCTTCCTGAGGATATGTGACTTCACAAATACAATCTTGTCATAAAAGGCGGGCTTCGGGAAAATTAGAGTTTAAGATCCCGGTTCTGCTATGTATTGATTCCATACACTAGGCCGGGTTATTTTACCCCCTGGGACTTCAGCCTCATCACTCGTCACACATGGATAATATACACACCCATCTAGTGGGTCATCCTGAGGACTGGGTGAGTTTGCGCATGTCCACGACTTCTAGCACTCAGCATCTAGTTGGTATTCATCAAATCCTAGATGATAGCCTTTCATTTCTAGAGCACCGCTATCAGGGAAAGGTTGGGCAAGTTTGCACCCCTTGGCCAGGGTTATGTATCTCAAGCCTGCTTTCCAAGTCAAGCCCAAAGACGTAGCTCATAAAGCTTTCTCAGGGGCAACCATAGACTGAATGCTGGTGTACACCACAATTCCTTTGTTGAGATCCTAACTCCTGTGATGAGGGCCTCTGAAGTGGCCCTTTGGGAGGTGATCAGGACACGCAGGCAGGGCTCTCAGGAAAGACATGAGTGTTCTCATGAAAGAGACCCAGAAAACCCTGTCCTACCCCCATTTGTGTGCAAACACACCAAGAAGACAGCTGCCTATGAATTAGGAAGTAGGGTCTCATCAGATGCCCAGTGTTACTTCCTCCTTCAGAATTGTGCAAAACAAGTGTTTGGTATTTAAGCCACACATACTGTGGTGTTGTGTTGCAGAAACGCCAGTAGAAGACAGGAGCTTCAGGAGCAGTCTGAGCCCCAGGGTCCTTGGGCTTCTATGTTAGGTCATTTGGATGTAAATGCCATGAGAGACCTACCAGAGTCTGAGATGTCATCCCAGTAGGGGGAATCAAACTCATATTCTGCCTTGAGGATCTGCTCAAACAGCTTCGAGTCATTTTCGTCATAAAAAGGAGGGTAGCCACAGAGCCTGCAAGACAAGAGGGAGTAAGATTTGAGTGTATGCACAGCCACTGTGCTGCATTTATACTTTGCTTAGAAGGCAGACTCAAGATCTGTTCATCAAATTAAAGGACCCCACACTCAGTGAGCTGAAGTCCAGTCTCAGTGAAGGAAACACACCCTCTATACATGAACATGCCGCAGAAGTGAAAATGTGACTCCCTAAGCAGCAAAAAGGTTAGCTCCATCACTACCAGAGGCAAATACACACATTCATAATTCCACCATATCTCTTTCTGTTATGTCTTTATTAGTGTGTGTATAGGATGTGTAGGATATGTTTGTCAGGGCGCACATTGTCACAGTGAATGAGTGTGGTAGAGGACACTTTGGTGTCGCTTCTTGCCTGCCAGCTTTCTATGGTTTCTGGGGATTGAAGTAAGGTCACCAGGCTTGCACAGAAAACACTTCTATTCACCGAGCTACCCTGCCACCCCATAATATTTTACATGGCATTAACTAGAATCCCATGAACTCTAGAAAATCATCATGCAATCTCCCATGTGTGAATATTATTTATCATATCTATAACACTGTCCCCAACTAACAGGCTGGTAAAAGGAACAAATAAAATGCATACTTGACCATCTTTCTGGACCCTTCAGGTTCATTCTATTTAGGAACCTGCTAAGGAAGAAGAGGGAATTTTACAGCCCGGATATCAAGTTGCTAGGACTCATCCTGGCCTGTGCGTTATTGTTCCACCAAGGAAGAATCAGAAGAGGATCGGAAATGCTGCCAGTTTTCTCCATTATAAGCAACAGACATCAGGTGGCAACTCAAGTTACCACACTGCAGAATCACAACCCCCCAGCCAAGGTGCCATTGGACCACTCCAAAGACAACTTCTCAGCGGTCCAATTAGGATGTTGCTAGAAACAAGTTAGAACTCTGGAGAGACCAAAGGGTCATCTGGCCACCATGGCAAGAGCAGACATGTCAATTAGATTCAACCACCACAAGTCAGTCAATGACACTGTGGATTCTAGGGCTGGGCATGTAGCATATACAGAGGTAGAACATATGCTTAGCAACTGAGAGAGTGATAAATAAAATAAACATAAATTAAAATGAGAAAGTCATGGTTTCTCTTCCCAGTTCTGCCCTCAATTTCAATGTCACCTTTACTGCTAGTAGGCCACTAATGTATTCCAGGGATCAAAATTTCATCTAATATGTAGGTGGTCAGAGTAGAAAATTCCATGTATATATTGGTTTTAAGCTTTATGATTCTGTGACACCTCTCCTGTAGTTTTTTTTTCAATCAGCTAAAATACTTAGGAAAAGACCACAACATGCCTGGGGCCCACGTAGGGCTGGGTTGGAGGGACCATGTAACCGGAAAGGGTGGGGTCAAGGCAGTAAGTGACCCCAGAGCAGAAGACGTTAGTGCTTGACTCTAGAAGCCAAGAACAAACTTCTATGTTGCTGATCTGGCTCCTGGGGCCAGAATGTGGCAGCCACAGTGGGAGGCCTGACCCCAAACTGAGGCCTGACCCCAAGCCAAGCCCCGATCTTCCCACAGAGTTTGATATTGTTCCAAACACAGCAACAGCCGAGAGAGCAGTTTAGTGAGAACAAATGAACAGGCATCCACAGACAGTAGGTCTGTAGGGATTTGCTGTTGGTTCCTAATAAACACAATCAAGGTCCAGCCATCTCTCATTTGTCCCGCCTCCAGGGGCACAGCCGCGGCTGGCTGCAGGAGGGAGTAGGTGATGGCAGCGGTCAAGGCCAGGAGACATTTTGTGGGCGGCGAGGATTCTATATCATCTAACTCACAAGCGTGGTTTAGAGGCTGAATGATGCCTGGAAAATTTCATTTGTAAAGATCTGCTGTGGTGGGCAAAATGAAACAGCCAGTGCTTCGGAAACCACCAAGCGCATACTTCACTACCCAAGGAAACCCTGGGGCCTCCGAGAGAGGGATATGTAAATTTTGCCCATAATGAGGATTTGGGCAAGATAAAATGTGTGCATTAGGGAAAGCCAACAGAGCAAAATGTTAGTTTGTCTTGGAAAAAAACCCACATGTTAGATACGTGAGCTCTTTGTTTGTTAACAGCTGAGTGTGTTTTGCTTTATGGTTTGGCTTTCTTGTCGAGGGAAAAATGTTAAAAATTTTCAAGAAGGATTTCTTCTTGTGCCAATTTTCTTAATGTATATTCCAATTTCTTTTCATCTAAGCTCTTTCTCCCTCTTTTCTCTTTTTACACAGAGGGCTGTGCGTGCAGGTGTTCTGAGGACCAGAGAGAAGGAATTCAATCTATCTTGGGGCCTGAGTTAAAATTAAGAAAGAGATGATTGGGGACGCGGCTCAGTGAGTACAGTGCTTGCCGTGGAAGTGTGATGGCCTGAGTTAGAACCCACATAAAAGCCGGACAAGCAGCCTGCCTGCATCCCAGCACTCCTGTGGAAAACTGCAGAGGCCCTACGGCTGTCACTCCTCCCAGATGTCTCCCGTCAGCCCTTCCAGAGCTGCTCTACCTTGTCCCTGGACACTGGCCTGTGTAGACATGTGAATGAAGATGGGCAGCATTATCGACCTTAGTGGGGTGCCAGTGGATGGGGACCACAGTAGGGCTGCTGAAGGAGGGGGGAAATCAAAGATGGGGGGGGTCTACTGCCCTGGGCCTCTCTAATTTGGCTCTTGGGTTTGTGCTCCTGGAAGGAAGGCTGTTTCTCTCCTCCTGAGGACAGATTCTATTAGGTTCTTGCCCCAACCTTGGCAACCCATGCTTCTCTCCCCTCATCTCTCTATGTCTAGGGGTGTTTATAGCCCAGTAGCAACCAAGTCCAGAATTATAAGCATCACAGGATTTATGTGGTCTTATCACACCACCCCTGAATATAGTCCTTATATCATCTCCATTTTATTTATTTATTTATTTATTTATTTATTTATTTATTTATGTATTTATTTATGTATTTATGTATTTATTTATGTATTTATTTAATTTATTTTGAACTGAGGATCGAACCCAGGGCCTTGCACTTGCTAGGCAAGCGCTCTACCACTGAGCTAAATCCCTAACCCCTTATCTCCATTTTAAAGCAAACTGATCAACAGTACCCAAGGTCAGGACTCAAGCTTAAGCCCTCTGACTCCAGGTCTATGTTCTTTACTCTAGGGCTCAACTGATAAAGAAGATAAAGGAGAAGACTTGAGAACGGAACCTTTCTCGTCAGCCTTTGAACTCTGTATAAGTGAGCTTGCCTGTACCTACCCAACACCTTCACCTGGAAGGAGAACTCCAGAATGTGACTCTACCTTTTCAATCCATGTCATTCATGGGGTGTGTTCATCAAGATGCTTCAGGCTAGTTTCCAACATAGGAACACTTATTGTATCTGGGCCAATGTAATCTTGTACACTTTATCTGGGCTCCCCCTTCCTCAGCTCTCCCAGACCCTTGGAAACTAGCTGGAGTGAAAGATTCAGACCTGACCTCTCTCTCTGGCAGGTACTCCATCACATTCATCTGCTGCAGCTGGCAGGGTTCCACCATGTCATATCCTCCCTGGGCATACTCTGACCTGTTCATATGCACCTAGGGCAGGACCTCATCCTTGCTTCTGGAGTGTCAGGGTCTGGGCCAGGATCTTCCTGGAGGGTGTTAGAGGTAGATGCCCAGGCACACACACATGTGTGGAAGAAGGGGCTGCCTTGTTGACTGCTGAGCCCCCATGGCTGAGCTCAGAAGCAGAGACAAAGGCTCAGGATACAGGAGCATTCACTGGTGCCCTATCTCAGAAGAACTAGGGTGATCCCAAAATACCAACCAACCTGACACTTCCTGTATACTCCACTTTCAGGAGGCGATAGAACAGCAATACTCCAAGCTATTCAGACATTCTGGAAGAACCTAGTGCACAAGCCCACCTCTGAGGGCAAATGGTCTATCTTTGTGGAGAGAATAAGGTATGGTTTGGGTTTTCCAAATGGTACTCCTGGCCACAGATCCATACTGCTAAGGTAGTTTTCCATGGAGAAGGATGTTAATATAAATGGATGTGAAAATCAGCAATGAATGGCCAGTGGGTGATCTGGCAGGGTGAAGTTTTTCTTGGAAACTGCAATGCTGCAAAAACCTAAGAGCTCCTGTCAAGATGCCCATGAGTTCAATGTGGTCATTACCCTTCATTAAGTTATGTTCTTTGGACTGTCTACCCTTGGTCATGGATCTACATACCTGGAAAAAAGAATGTTTGCCACAAGGATGCCCCAGTTATGACCAGTAGCTAATTCTTTGTTCTTTTGTTCCCACAATCCACCTGTGTTTTGGCCTACCTCTTGTGGTCACTGTTGTTCCATATACCTTTTGATACCAAAGACAGGAGGCTATCAAGAGGACAGGAAGAAGTAGGGATCGGGAGTGGTGGGGGACAAGTACCAGCATTCCTGACAGCAGAGAGTGATGTAAAAATTTTAATGTACTTTACATTCTTATGGTAAGTACACTTTATATGAGAGCCTCTCTCTTAGTATTTAAGGGAATGATACAGTTCTGTTGACTGTTGCTTTTGGGGTCTGACAGTGTCTCCATGTTGTGACTTGAATTTGAAACGTCCCCCAGAGTCTCATGTGCTTGAACACTTGGTTCCCAGCTGGTGGCATCATTTTGGAAAGTTCTGGCACCCTTTATGGGACACAGCTTCATTGAGGGAACTGGTCCACTGGGGTTGGGCCTTGAAGTTTTGGAGTCTAGCCCCATTTCCTCTGTGTCTTCTGCTTCCTGACTGCAGTATAATATGACTACCTACTCACTCCCCTGTCGCCAATACCACCTCCAAATTGTAAGCCCAAATAAACCATTTTTTAAAAAAATTGCTTCTTGTCAGCTCTTTGGCCATAGCAACAAGAACAGTGATTAATATAGCCCCCTAAAGGCTCGTCTGTCGAAGGCTTGTCCCTAAGATGGTGGCTCCATTGACAGGTGGGTGGATCCTTAGGGTGTTCACTTCATC